TTTTTTTTTGGCATTTACTCACACCATTACTCATGCAGTAATTTCAGAGTCGAGTGGTTCGTACACGCGATTTTACGTCGCAAAAATTTGGTAAGAATATTTTTTCATCTCATATTTATGAAGGACGTGAGTCGGATGCATTGAACAGAAAAGGTTGCTCGAGAAAGCTTCGCAATTGCGTCAGCCTCGAAGTGTTACTTCAGGCTGTGGTCGATTGCATGATGCAATGTCCCCGTTCTTATGATAATGATTATAAAAATATATAATGTAAGATATCTTTTTCGAGGTCGAGAGGAAGCTTTTTCGTGGCTGGTTTTATCCAATTTAAAATAAGAGAGATATCCGTGATCCAAAATTTATCGATTACTTCTCAAACGGAATCCGGGGGATTTCTTCACAGAAAAAATGAATTTATGTTTCTCGGAAAAAAACGATCCATACAGAAAAAAAAATCAGACGTGCAAAATATTTAGGCCGAGTTCATGACGATATGTTGCTGACTCTCCTGATGAGAACATATAGGATGAGTTTCCTCAAGCAAAAGTGTATGCGATGTTAAATTTCTTTCATGTTCTGTGACAAATTTCCAATTTGAAGAGACAAAATTTTACTCACGTTGAGAATTTTCAAAGCTTTTGCCAAAGCACCAACTTCTTCGGTCATGGTGAACAAGACCGCGGAGTTTCCTGGCTTCCGTTTGGCTTTTCCATCGGGCGAACTTTCCAGTTTCAGATCGGACTTTTTCGGAGAAAAAAATTTGATTAATTTAGTTGATTATTCAAGTTTTTATCATCAATTGTCTCTGATTTATTTAAAGAAGGACGATTTACCTGTAAGCGAAAAGTGAATCGCGCGGAATAGTCTTGTAAAACCACGGGTGGCATTTTTGATAATATCCGGATGCACAAGGGTCTAGAGTCAGTTTGGATTTAAAGAAGCGTAAAAAAAAACCTTATAAATTTCAAAATTATGAAATGAAGGTAACGAATAACTTCTAATTCGTGCACTAAAATAGCAGAGCACATAAATTCTTTGCTGCACTGACCGAAATAAGTATCAAACGCCATCGGTTTTGAGACTTTTCTAGACCATCAAACTTGATACAATAATATTTTTTGCAGTGGAATATAAACACTCTGCGAATATACAGAACGAAAGAAAGCGAGCGAAGTGAGTAGCTTTCGTATAATAATAACTTGCACTGCTAACCGTTACACCGTTTGGAGTTTGTTTACTCGTGACGATGTTTTAATAAACATCACGTTAGGTTGAAGATTCGTATATTACGTCAACCGCGACACGTCTTTCTAAAAACTAGCATGCATGCTTTCTTACATTTGCTCTTCGCATTTCCAGATTTTTTTCATTTCACTTTGACCGTCTTTCAAAGTAATTATTTAAGCTGGAAAGATGTTGAATGATTCAATGAGACGTCAATGATTTGAATGGCTGCTCCCTGTTGAACCGACGCATTTAAAGCAGCAGTTCACTTCCGCAAATGCCTCTAAGAAGTCATTAAATCTAAAACGCACTCGCATCTTTTTTTTTAAATTAATGCCGGGATAAAGATAGTTTTATGATGCTGTAGTAAATTTTCTCGTATCTGAATAAGAATACGGTGAGCCTGTTCGTATAGCAACCATGCTGCACAGCTAATTAGAGGTAATCAAAGCAGAAAGCTTCATATCCCAGTCAACAAGTTGGTTTTATCGATGTATTGCGGAACACTCGTATTTTAAACGAGTACTTATAATTGCCCGAGTACTGCGTCACGAGCCGCCGTCACTCGGCATCGGAACAAATGGATGAGCGTTAAAACTATTGTCCAAGCACTGGGCTTCGACAACCGCATTACGTTCACTAGGCGAGTTGAGTGACCGCAGACTGGAGAAAGGACTGGCGCGGAAACAAATGTAGGAACGACGACGCGACCTCTAGTACATACTACCGGTATAGCACCACTTTCATAATCTTCCAGCAGCAGCAGCAGTAGCAAGGACCATACGCGGTGTGATCAAAAAAAAATATCATTCGTTTTGCTGCTGATGGGTTCAAAAGGATGATTAGTTGTAGAGATGCAAATTTTGATGCAGAGGTGGACCAGGAAGGGTTTGGTGAAGGCGTAGCAAAATTTGTCGACATGCTGGGTTTTTATTTTAAATCGAATTACGTGACCGTTTTATGTAAAAATGATTTGATCAAGTTTTTTCCCGGATCATAAACATGAAAAAAAAACAAAAAGATTCCATATGATATGTCAGAACAGTATTTCGAGTAGCATGAATGTATTGAAATGGTACACCCTGATCGAGAAAAAGTCTGGTGAACGCCTGGCAAAGTGTTTAAACCTGCTTGATTTTTTAAATTAAGTGAGCCTTATCTGAATAACGGATCTGATCATGTTTTTACGTGGATCATAGATGTGGGGTCGCATCCACGCGGCATGACCCAAGCGCAGCATCCTTGCTTGGACACGCTGCAAAGCAACACAAAGCCGAGGGACCCGGAAGCGGATAGGGACCCAGTTTGGCGCATTGCGGTAAATTGGGTCAGGAGGAGATAATGATCACGGGGCGGCAGATGCCCCAGAGAAGTTACCAAAGGATTCACTAGAACATTGGTGTTGCCTGATGGCGGTTATCAGATTGAGAGTTCTGTTCTGGCTGATTGCCATTGTCTCTGAAGTGTATGCAAGTCTGATTGTCCTTCTGCAGTTCCCTGTGGGTGGATTAAAGGTGTGCTGCTTTAAGGGACTCCACTAAGGAGGATCCGGCCTTTAAAGGCTGAGTCCTGTGTTTGAGGCATTCCTAGTTCTTTGTTGTTAAATTGGCCCAACAAAATTGGTGGCCAGTGGGTTTACCTTTGAGAGGTCAAACCCCAGGCATCTTTCAAATTTTGGGCACAGTTTACTTCCTCTGGTGTGAATTTTTGTGTGTGCGTGTGAAATTGCAGCCTTGCTGCCTTTATTTTACACCCCCTATTCACTACCCTGTGTGAGAAAGCTGTAAGTACTCACTTTGCATTTTCTGTGTGAATTGCAACGCACAATGAACGGTGAGGAAGGCAAAGTCCTGGGTACCCCTCCAATTTTGAGCCGCACGCGTGCTACGCGTCAGCCTCCACAAAGGCATGGACCCCTACCAGCGGAGCTACAGCATCGCATTTCCCATAGCCCATCCAATTCTGGCAGCCGCAAAAGCGCGCATTCCCAATCTTTGCATTGCACTCAGCGTGCACCTCTCCAAGGAGTAGACCCTTTGTCCCAGCGGACGGCGTCTCGGGGCGCAGGTTCTGTTGTGGCATCAAGCGGTCACTCTTTGGCCTCAACGGCAAGACAACCCACCATTATAAAACATGTCCTCCGCCTTGCCAATGCAGTGGGTGCAGTGGATCATATTTTGCGGACTCCAGAATGCGGAGATCCGCAGCAACCTTTCAAGGAAGTTGTTCCCAGATATTTTGATGCGGTGGCGCATCTCATTGATCTGCCAACAACTGTGTTTTTGCAGCCGGAGTTTGCTGCCCTCACGCAATTGGCAACAAAGGTGAACATGTTACTCGTGCAATCCATGGATGTCATGACCAGGGGGTGGCCATATCTTTGCCCGATGCAACCTTGCATCATGGGAGTTGCCTTTCCCGTGGATCCTCCCACACCTGTTCAACGTCCACCGCCAGTGGCGCCCACTGCGCCCCGGCCTTCACCAAGGGTAGCTCCGGCCCCCACTATTCCATTGCACCGTCCAAGTACGTTGGGCGGAACAGGGTTGGCAACCTTGCACAATGCGGGGGGCAAGTACTTCCCCTGCGCCCTATGGCGCCCGCATTATTACTTCCTCCAGCTCTGGCAAGTTACAATCACTCAGAGTCTGGGCCATCCTCCATTCTGATGCCGCCCGGGCGGCCATATGAAACGTATCATCACGCCCTCATGCTGTTTTGGACAGGGCAGCCAACGGCACTCTTGCATCATGACCTTGTGAAGTTGTATGAAAAACAAACACGCAACACATCCTTCAATAAATTTACGGGTCAAGCTTCATTGAATTATCTGTTTGAACGGCTCTGGCATGACTTTTTGCCAGTACACATTATACCAGTTGCACAACTCATGGATACCAAGCGTATCCGCTTGTTGCTGCTGCACCTGGATGGCAAAGCCAAAGAGAACATTGGCGCATTTGCATACCAGGATGTTTATATGGATTATCTGAGCGTCTTTCAGGTGCTCTTTTTGGAATATGGGCAGACAGATGAGGTCCGCCTCAAACTTCATCGCGAGTTTGACTGTCTTTTGGCACCAAACACCCTGCAGGAATTTTATGACTATTTCCACTGTGTCATCCAGATCACAGAAAAGCTCAGCACAATCCAAACCGACATGAATTTTGTGCATCTCTGCGTGGCTCCTGTTCTCCATGCACACCTGGAATGTGGCAATCACCTGGAAGTGCTCCAGTCCTACACCGATCACCATGCGCAGATGCCCGAACTCAACACTGTCTGGGCAACACGCCCGCATTGCCAATATTGTTTCATTTGTGCCTACTTTGCAAACAAGCTCCACATGGCAGAAGCACCACCAGTTCTTGCATTCCAGGGTGCAGCTGCATTGGCTGACGGCACTGCCAATCCGGCAGCAGCCGCCGCAGCCCCCGCAGGCAGCAGCCCCATCTGCCACAGCAGCCGCAGCACCAGCTGTTGTGGCCAACGCCAATCTTGCAAATGCGGTGCCGTCCACCTTGAATGGAAATTGCCGGCAGCTGCAGAACTGTAACAACAATAATTGTCAACAGCCATTTTGGAGAGGACAATTGCAATCCTGTAGCCCCCCACAAAAGTGGCAGCAGCGCAGACACTCCTCTGATTGGCAACAAAGTTGCTCTCTGCAAAGGTGGTCTGACAATTGCAGGCTGCCCCAACAAGATAATGATTCCCAATGCAACCGGGATCATAATTCCCCTGACAATTGCCAAGACCAATTGGATCGGTTCATGCGTCCATTCTGCTTGGCTAATCACACTGCCATGCGGTGTCTTCTGTCAGTCCAGGAGAAGCTGCAAGCCGTACATTGCCATCGGCTCTGCGGGAACTGTCTCTTGTGAGACCACTTTAGTAACAATTGTACCTCTAACGGCCGGTGTCGCCATTGCCAGCAGCCGCATCATTCTACAACCTGCAATCACAACAACCAGTGGAACCAGCAATGCGCACCTGCTGGGGGGCAGGCCGCTAACCGCTCCAGCTGTCCAGCAGGCAGCACCGGCGGCGCCTGTTGCACCTGCAGCACCAGCTGCCCCCACAGCCCCTGCTGCAGCAGCTCCCATCATTCAGCAGGCTGGCGTTGCGCCTGCCACCTGACTACCACCAGCGGCCAAGCGCCAAGTTGTCCTGGTCATTTCCACTCCGCGGCCAGGGCCCATGTGCGCCTTCATGGAGATGGCTGCCATTAAGTAGGAGCCTGAAGGGCATACTGCTATTGCTCTCCTGGACTCCAGGGCCCAGCTTACACTTATTTTGCTGGCCCTTGGCCAAAGACTCAATTTAATAACTGAACCATGTCCGCCCTACATTATTGGTGGCGTGGAATGGGCTAATCCCATGATGGCAACAGAGGCAGTTTGCCTCACTTACAGGGGGGCAGTTGCAAACTCCCCCATCTTTTATACCATGGCACTTGTTGTACCTCACGTCAAGCCATGGAAAGGGTCTAACCCCTGCGCTGTCCCCTGGTTGGAGAAATTCAACTTGGCGGACCAGCAAATTTTAACCAATACCGTGCTAACCTTTGATATTGTGCTTGGGGGTAAAGACCTGGTACCCCTGTACAGGGATATCACTCCTCCCATTTGCACTCAAGGGTTTCTTGGGGTGCCTACGCACC